AAGCATCTCGGCCCGAGCCTGTTTGTGGAAGTTTTGCTGGCGGGGTAGCTGCAGACGCTCAACACCACCCAATTTATACGGGCATTGGTGCTCTGAGTTGCGTAGAGCTCTCATGGTTGCATTCACGGCTTTTTACACGATTTTGCTTGCGTTTTTCATGAAGATTTCACTTCACGCTTGCTTGAACCCACCGCCTGGATTGCATCAACAACCAAACATCAACAGTAGTCAGCAGCAACACGTTGCCAGCGGACATGTGCCGGGCTGCCAGGGTCCCAAGTCCCTGGGTGGAGTTTTGACTTCTGCACCGGCTGTCGACGCAGCCAGCTCCACAGATGCGAGGGTTGGAGTGTGCACCGCACGCACTCCGAGAGCCGACCAAGGCGTTAGCAATGCCACAGCAGTGGCGAAGCAATGCGGAAGGGCAGACAGGCAGCAGCCTTGCCCGCGTTTTCGCAAAAGAGCACTCATTAGGGCACAGCGTCGTGCCTTGCAGGCCCCTGATGGCCGCACATTTTACAGAGGCCGTTGGGTTCATGCTCGCGCCTTAGGCTGTGATGCGCGTACAATCAGACAGCGGCAAGACGCACAGGCGACGACTGGTGCTAGGCTTCGAGTCCTGAGTCTGAATCTTGGTAGCATGGACAGCATGACTTATGACGTTTTCATGACTTGGCTTTCTGATGAAGGTAAACATTATGACATCCTCATGCTCCAAGAAACCCACCACGGCCTCGGCAAACAATTTTCTGAATGGGTGATACCCGGATACACTTTTGTGAGCAGCCCGGACCCTCAGAGCCGCTATGCCGGAGTGGCAATGCTCATTGCCACGAGAGTGGCGAAATCAGCACAGGTGCGTCATCAAGTGCACGTTGCCGGTCGCCTTTTGCACGTTCGGGTTCCCATAGGTAGTGGTAAACAGGCCGCTCATCTTGACTTGGTCTGTGTGTACCAGTGGGCCTGGGACGCTGATCCGGAGAAACAGCGTGCAGCCAAGCGTCAGGCCCTCTGGCAGCGTCTGGATGCCCTCTTGAGGTCGCTGCCACAGCGAAACAGCAAGTGCATCGCCGGTGATTTCAACTGTGCCCTGCGCCCACGTGCAGGTTGCGTGGGGCAGCATTTGCATCGCAACACCGCTGGCTACCCAGACGTAGATGATTTCGGTGTCATACTTGAAACTCACCACTTGTGTGCCCTGAACACTTGGACTCGTGCTGCTGCGCATCCCACCTACAAGCAAGAGGGGGACCAGGCCCGGAGCGCGCAGATTGACTTCATACTGACGGGTCAGACGTCAGCAGATTCTCAAGCGCGCAGCTCTTGCCCTAGGCCCAGCATCTGCTTCTCTCCTTGGAGGGGAGGAGGCAGACATTTCGCAGTGCAGGCCAGCCTCAAGCTGCATCAGCACTTCTCGCCAAAGCCGGCACCTGCTGCTGTCAGTTACAGCCGTGCCGCTCTTCGTGAAGCATTGCGCCAGCCTGAATCCCCACTGCGCCACAGCTTGTACCAAAACGTAAGCAATCGCCTGCATCAGGTCCCGGAAGAGGCACTCACAGCTGAGAGGCTGAATCAGGAGATGCATGCAGCCTGCTGCGCACTGTTTCCTGTGACACCCTTAGCTAAAGACCCTAGGCCCTGGCAGCAACCCGCTTCCCAACACGATGTCAAAGAGCTCTGGCGTTGTCACAGTGCACTGAAGGCCGTCAGGCGTGAGAATATTGCTGTTGGAGTGCGCTCCAGAATGGCACAGGTGTTTCAAATTTTGCGGGTACACACCCAGCTGCAGGCTTGCCAGAGAGCTTTGCGTAAGCGAGGACGGGAGCGTCGCAAACAGCTCATTCTCACCTCCTTGAGTAGAGCTGAGGCTGCGGCACAGGCCGGTGACATGTACAAGTTGTTTCAAGAGGTTCGCCGTCTTGCCCCCAAATCCCCCAAAGAGCGAGTGCAAATACGTAGTCCAGACGGTCGCATCCTCAGTGAGACGGATGAGCTTCAGGCCATTGTTCAGTATTTCACAGATGTCTTTTGCAGGGACAAGTCGTGTCAACACACAGTTCAAGCGCTACAATGTCCATACAGCGTTCGTGACGAGGAAATTATAGAATGTTTCAGTAAACAACCTGCCGGCAAGGCAGTACCAGTGGGCTCGGTCCCAACGGAGGTCTGGAAACTTTGCATGCCTGAAGTCCTCCCTAGGATCCGCCAACTGTTTGATCGGCATTTGCAGGGCCACCTCCAGTTGCCCCACACATGGCGTGATTGTCACCTGTATTTACTGCCCAAGCCCTCCAAACCTGCTAAACTTCCCTCCAGCTTGAGACCTATCGCTTTGCAGTGCCCACTAGGTAAATGCCTCGCTAGGGTAATTCAGCGTCGCCTGCTTGAGCGAATCCTGCCGGCGCTAGAACGCACAGCACAATACGCGTATCTTCCAGGAAGAAGCACTCATACTGCGCTAGCGTTGCTCGCTCAGCACTGCAACGAGGCTAGAACGCACCTGGTGAACTCCCGCATCGAAGTGGGTGATCGCAAGCTTGGTAGGAGTGCTAGCATCATGGGAGCCGCGATGCTGTCCGTTGACCTTAGCCTCGCCTTCGATAGAGTCAGCCATCAGTACCTGAGTGACGCATTGCGATTTCTGAATGTTGATCAGGATACCATTACGCTCATCCTCTCCATTCATCGTGCTAAATACCACGTTCAGCACGGGCAACAAGCCTCATGCTTTGACATTTGCAACGGCATAAGGCAAGGATGTACGTTATCACCTTTGTTGTGGGTGTGTGTGACGCATTACTTGTTGCACAGATTTGGTTTGAAAGCTGGTGCACATGCCAAGGAGAGCTTGATTCTTTTTGCAGATGATTTTCTTGCCAAGTTCATTTTGCGGGACATGCGGGACGTGCAGGCCCTGACCACACACGTTCGCTGTTTGTTTGAAACTCTTGACGAAGCCTGCATGACTGCCAACCCGGAGAAGTCCAAGCTGCACATCAAGGCTGCTGGCATCCCATTGAAGAAGTGGTTGCATGCCCGGACTGTCACGCGCAAAGGCACGAAATGCTTAGCCATCCAAACACCGTTTGATACGCTGTTCTTGCCTTTGTGTGACAGTCTCACGTATCTAGGAGCCGTCGTCTCTTACGGGGCATACGAGGACCAAACTGCTGAGCATCGAGTCCGCTCGGCTCAGGCTAACGTTGCCAGGCTGGCTAAACATCTTTTTACACAGCATGGCATGGGTCTTCGCGTGCGCCTCAGGCTCTTTTTGACATGCGTGCGCTCGTCACTCTTGTACGGTATCACTCCTATCGGTATCACTTCCAAAAGCCTTAGCCTGTTGCAGCGCTTTGAAGCCAAGTACATTCGCAAGCTTGCCAGATCTCCGGCACATTTGACACTGGAGCGCACGCAGGATCTGTATCATCGGCTCCAGATTCCGACCTTGTATGCTGCTCTGACGTCCAGGGCCAATAGCAGCCTTGAGGCATGTGAGAAACCATTCCACTATCCTGGTCAGGAGTCAGTCAAGACCTGGCTACAACTTAAGCTTCGAGATCTTGCAGAGTGTATCCAGCTCACCCAAACATCACTCACCAAGGTGACAGCTGAAGGCATCACAACTGAAGGTGTCCCATGCCCGGTTTGTGGAATATACTTTGGTGACCAACATGCAATGCGCGCACACGCCACACAACGGCACGCCATGATATTCACGACTAAGCTTGACACTGCAGCTGGTCGTAACATCGATCCTCGAAAGCATAGTCTTGGAGGCATGCCAACGTGTCGCCATTGCAAGCGCGCCTTCCGAAAGTGGGGTGGGCTGAAGGGTCACGTACTAAATGCGTGCCCAGTTCTACAATCTCGGCCGCCACAGCCTCCTGGTCCTGGGCAGTCTCCTGTTAGCCAGCTCGACAACACACCTCCCACCACGATTGAACCTCCTAGTCCCCCGATTGCCCCAAACTGCCCGGCCAGTCCCACCCAACAGTCACCCCTGGCATCCGTGGATACAGAGGATCCCACCCTGCAGGCAGTCGCAAATGTACAGGTTCACATTGATGCAGCTGTAGCCGACTGGGTATCTTTCGCTGAGGCGCAAGGAAAACGACTCAAGGACACCTGCATCTTCTGCACGCAATGGTGTAGCAAAGGTGGTGGGGTTAAGCAGCACATTCGGCGCACTCACCCAAACCACTGGAAACATCATGATGACGTGCAACTGCGGCTAAAGAAGCACTACCGCCTCAAGTACAAAGGGGTGTGCAAGGCTTGCTCCTTTACTCCCACCGGTTCGCAGGCGGGCGCACTGCACACACCAAACTGCCCGGCGTACTACCAAGCTTGCCTGCTGCATGTCATCACTCGCTGCGAGGCTCACGATGGCGGTCCCAACCCAAGCAGAGCTGGAAGTGGCCGCAATGTTTGCATCGTCCATGCCAGCACTGGCGGCAGCCAAGTCTGCGCGCAGGGAGGACTCAGATGCGACACCGGAGAAATCGAAGTATCACAAGACAGGGCAGTCCAAGGGCATCCGAGGCAAGGGCCTCGGGAGCCTCGGAAGTCGCAAGCCGTCGAGTCCCACCAAGCCGACGGGGTCCCAACAGTTGCCAGACACGCTGACCGAGGAGACTGTGATGGAACTCCTGGCGCTGCTGACGAGGTTATCCCTCAAACACGAGGACCTCCTCGCGGCATACCAAGCCGACACTTGCTACATGATGTACCTGGACACATCCGGGGATCTTTCCATCACCGCCAACCTCTATCAGGTGACCCAGAAGTGGCAAGCTATGAAGAGAGACAACCCGGAGAAGCTGACGTCGAGTCTCAGAGTTACGCTCCTGACGACCCTCTTCATGGAACTGCGAGAGCGCATGAACATGGCCCTCAGGGAGGACAAGCGTGGGACCCTCTCCAAGCACTCATGGCTCAGCGAGTCCGATCCAGCGACCTGGAATTACCAAAAGTGGGACCCAGCAACCGAAGCCGTGGTCGTGGACGCCGGCAGGATCGGACTTCCACACAGCGATGCGTTGACCATCATCCAACGCGTGCTGCAGTTGATCCCCGAAACGGTCCTCATACAGAAATTTCACAGCACCAGACCTCAGGCGGCAGAGTATGCGAGCGACGTGCTCCCATTCATGCTCATGGTGTCCAACCGCGGGGCTCTGGCGCAGGAACTCTACGACCTCTTTCAGCGGCTCTCGGACCTCAGCGCGATGAGGTTGATCGGATCGCGCCTCCGACCACATCGTCAACGTCGCCAACCCTTGGCCCTGACCCTGGGGCAAGCGGCATCAGGTCTGTTGCAGGCCGCCCGGCAGAGCAACCCGAAAGACGAGGACCTGTGAGAGAGTGGCCAGCAGGAACCCCAGCTTGCCCTGTCTTATTGAACCCTGGACAGATTTGCTACATGAACGCATCCGTCACGCTGTTACATTGGCTAGTGCAGGCCTCCCCTATCGACCTGCCGTCGCCTTATGGCGTGATGCAAGCGGCTTTTGGGTCTTTAAAGGCGGGCCTTAAGCTCACGCTCACCAACTGCCTACCATGGCTTGCGTTAACACGTGACTGGTTATGCAGCATACATGCCGACATACATGTTCAACAGGACGCTGTGGCATTCGCTGAGTTTTTGCTTCATCGCGCCAACATCCCAGCTTTCCGCGGCACCTGGGAAGCACGCACCTCCACACACGAGCTACATGACTCAGGCATCATGCCCATCCGACTGGAGTTGAAGCCGGACCTGCAAGCATGCATTGATTACTGGCACAATCAAAGCACACGTTTTCTGCAGGCATTGCGTAAACCACCTCAGTTATTGCTGCTGCAGCTTTCACGCTTTGACCCGCAGGATCCGTTGCGTAAGTTTACTGCGCCACTCATATTCGAGGCGGGGCAAACATTCTTCATGCCTTGCTTTACAATGAACCATGACATCGTGACGGTGCATTATCGCGTTGCTGGTATGCTCTATCACTGTGGAGACACCCTCCATGCAGGACACTACCAAACGGTTTTGTGCACCATGCGATCTGCAGTGAGCGGCCCTTCAGGGTATCAGTTTCATATCACGAATGACGGTTGTAAGCCTCGTAAGCCCAAGCCCGCGGACCTTGAACACCTCTCCACTGGGGCCTACCTCATAGGAGCGGTTCGCATAGATGCTGATCCCAACTGAGTGCCACCTGTGAAGCGCGGCGCATCCCGACAAAGAGTCGTTGCCGACATTCACATTTAATTCGTCACGTCGCATGCCGTTTCGTATTTCATTCACTGTGCTTTGCTACACACATTCCTCAGTGGCTCTGCAAGCATTGGTGTTAAGTGTGGGAGCTCACGATTTGGGGCGTGTGGACCCCCATGCATGCTACACCGCTGCTCGAGCCCTTGGCGGCTGGACCGCATGGCCTGACCACAAGTGTTACCCCTCGCGTTCGCTACAACATCGCCACGGATGACTACACGCCGGGATATCCTTCACATTCGCTTCAACATCGCCGCGGATGAACTTCACGCAGAGCTCCCAGCTCCGGGAATCGTACCTTTCACCGAGTCTCATTGAGCTTTCGGGCCACCCGCCCACCCGCCTACCCCCGAAAAGCGCACCCTTACAGCGTGCTTTACGGGGTCAGTGGGCCACCCGCCCACGTACCCACCCCCGTAAAGCGCACCCTAACAGTGTGCTTTACGGAGTCAGGGGGCCACCCGAAGCGTAACCAATCACCCCCCCCTGCGCGCGCGCGCGGCGCGCCTGGTTCAACATTGCGACTTGTGGCTTGATTCAGGTGATCTTCGTCATTGCCGCGATCTTTGCCGGTAGGAGTTTTGGTAGGTTGTTCTCTAGGCGGTTTCGTCCACAGCCTCTGAGCCTTTTTCTGTCGAGACGCGCGTTGGACAGCCTCGCGGAGGAACGGTGCCACTTTGTGGCCCAACAGTGGCATGAGTGGGCAAATCAGGCCAATGCACTTGTTGTGGACGAGGCGGGCGCTGTGGACTCAGCTGATATGGCCTTGTCTGAGGAGTCGCTCACATGGTCTCGGGCCATGAACCGTTGCTTTCACCGATGCAGCATCAGTGAGCGGTCTTGTGTTTCGCCGTGCTGACTAATTTGCCCACCTTCAAGAGCCTGCAGACCACCATGCACCGCGTGAGATCCTTTTTGAGAGTGGATTCCGTTTGATGACCCCATGGCCTTCTACGTCGTGATTGCCAGCCACGCCATGCTCAGCGCAGCCACCCACATCGCTGGTCACTACGTGCACATCTACTTGATCAAGACAGCGCCTGCAATCCGGCTTGACCCGCTTGAGTTGTGGAAGCTGGTGCAGGACCCGCTTGAGTTGTGGAAGCTGGTGCAGGCTAGTGGCATCATATTGCTGCAGAGACTCCTCAACTTTCAGAACCGTCGCGCGGCTTTGCAGGCGTCATCCTCACCTTCCTCATGATGGCCATACTGTTGCCAACCGTGCTGCGCACCCTGCGAGGCACCAGCTGCGTCACTGGCCGATTGGATGGTTTCAACTATTTCTGGTATGCGCGCATGACTTGGAAGTTCCTCTACGTGCTGTTGCTGCTCCATGGGCCTCAGAGACTTTGGATATGGCTTTTCTTCCCAGCCATCTTCGTGCTCGTGGACCGGCTGTTGCTCTCTTACCACCCAGCCCTGAACTTGGCGCTGCAGAGTATAAAGTCGCGCGCGCGAGAAGTCATTGACCTCACCTTTGCAGTTACTCATGGTTTTGAGTACCAGACTGGCTAGTACATCATCCTTGGTTGGCAAGGCGAGTGGCATTGCTTCACATTGACATCAGCCCCGGAGG